CAACCTGGTGTGAAAAAGCGATTTCAAGACAGCGGATACCCAGTAGGTTTAGTTGAGTGACAACTAAGACGGGTGTTTCTCCCAACACCAAGACTCAACAAGGAGTGGGTCGCAACAGCAGTCGTCCCAAACAAAACAGGGACATCTGAATTAATTAGAAGGATGTTGAATACGGCCAACATTAGGGTAGTATTCCAGAAGCGGAGGACTTTAAGCTCAGTATTGGTGCAGCTGAAGAATCGCCTTCCGGTTGATAGGACTAGGAACTGTGTATACAAAATAAAATGTAACGGCCGCACGAAGGTTTAAATAAGTCAGACAGCCAGGAAATCGCACACCAGAATCGGTGGTCTAACTGATGCATTAACAGACCACCGAGGAACTTAGATATCTGAGGATAGTTAAAGACTCGGCAATGAAAGGGCATGTGCTGGACACTGGGCACAGGATAGATTTTGGAAAATGTAACATTTTGAGATGGGGACTAGGATTCACACCACAGCGACTGGTGGCCGAGGCGGTGGAAATCGCCTTGTATCCCAGCGTGGATAGAATAAAGGGCGTAAAACTGGCAACTGGGCGGACGGCGGTTTCAGATCATCCGAGATGACACGAGGTGGTATGCAGTCAAACTGTCTGGGTCCAAGAATACAAATTTCAAACATAGTAAGATTCACTTAACCACCTAACCCCTCAATACACAAAGACCAACAAAATCTGTGAGCGACTTTCCAGAGGAATATTCTATTAAGCTGTCCTAGACTGGTAAAGCAAGGTAGCAAAATCCGGATTCAACATGAAGTTAACCCCCGCCAACCAATTCGTAGGCGTTAGTCATCCGTACTAACCTACAAACAAGAACTTCAGACCGACATCATCATCATCATCGACAGCATGACATTAGTGTTCAACACCGATGCTTCGCTGCCGTACAGCCATGATTTAACCGAAAGCCTTATTGTGAAGAAAAGAATAAAGGTGGACGGGATAATAACTGCTAGCTTGCCACAATCACTCCGACACCTAGCACTCATCAAGTCGGCTAGTCATAATGAATCTCACGGATTGGTTCCCCGACTACCTTGAAACCCGATAAACGTGGTAACTTACTCACTTTGCCTGACGAAGTTTTTGGGTCAAAAGCGAAACGTTGGTCATCAATAAATCTATAGATTGTTTACCAAACCTGTGACACGATGGCTACTTAATTGGTCCAAAACGTTTTCGAATTGATTTTCCGCCTTTCGTTTCTCAAAAACCTTGAAACGAAACTCTAAAACAAGTTTTACGACCGCAGAGTAGCTGGGGAAAAATACATGTGAGTCAGTTGACGGGAACACTGTACAGTTCACTTCCACGTGTGCGTGATGTGATCCCCAATAAATTGGAAACGGCCGAATATTAAGCTCTCCCGGGGCAGCATCTGTAATCCATAGGTGGAACAACATGCTGGACTGGCATGCATTTGCGTGTTACGTCGAACTTTGCCCCGGTGGGTTCGAGCACAATCGTTGACTTCACAACCGGTTTGCTCCTAGCCGCGTGTGCAGTCAGCTGTGTTCTGCACCCACTGTGAACCCGGGGAACTCACTGTGACCGGGGATGAACGGGAGGAAGCTCTCACGATACCCAACTGATGCTAAATGGTTTTCAAATCCCGTGCGGACATCCAAACAGTTAGGATTCATGTTGTAGGCAAAAGATGATCTGAGGGCCCGCATCACTCGCAAGAAGTACCCGTGGCGCACACGTATGATTAGCTAGTTAAAGCGAATGAATGAGGTACGGTGTGACAGAACTTAAGTTAATGGAATACGTCGTTAAAAAAAAGATACTAATGAAGACACGGAGCCAACCGGGGGTTAGTTTGGCGAACCACGTAAGGTTCAGACAGTTTTGAACGTTGCTAATTGTTTGGATGAGAGTAAAGTTTGTCTATCAGCACATATCGAATACATGGTGCTGTTCGTCCAGATGACCAGTAAATTATGTCCGACGATTCATAAACGTCCTACGAACAACGGTCTCCATCTCCGTGCAGACTGACATTCAGTGAGGCGGCACCGAAAAGTATGAGGAGACTCTCATACAGTTGCACTAAGTGGCTGATAACATTGGAGAAATCTGACATTTGGTTACTTGCGCTGGTGGAATTCGTATCGATTGGGAAAAGATACTATTTGTACTAAGTAAGCTTGAGTTACATTTTCGTGGTGGACCTCTTCAGATAGGCGTTATTTGATATAACCTGAATGTTAATCCATAGTGCACCCGTTGCCTTTTTATCAGGGGTCCACTTTCGATACCATGTGCAAAACAACAGTAGCACACATGTTTCGTATTCTCAGGAGAACTTGAGGTGACTTTTTTGGAGTAACTGAGACCGATCGCCTGGCCAGAACGAAACCTTAAAGTCCAGAAGTAATTTGTTTTAGCTCATCCAGACTTGTTACCGTCTACCCTTTGCACTTGAAAATAAACTCAGTGTAAGCCCACTTTTAGTGGTCAGGGTACAGTGGTCATTGAGGGGGGCGCTATGGTTCTTTCACCATGGTATTGTCAGGAAGAATCGATGTTGAAACTATCTGTATTATACCTCTCAGTATAGTTTAATGTCTCGTAAATAAGTTCAGATAGTATTCTCTGTCGGGCACCGATTTCTTATCAATTGATGCGTCTCTCCTTGGGTGCTTTTAGTTTTTTCGTTACTCTGATGACGTGAATGTTAGCCTATTCCGCGTCGCACAGGGGCGAGGTTGCTCAGTGGTTAGAGTGCGAATTTACTGACCGGAAGGTCTGTGGTTCGAATCCGACCTCTGCCTCTCGACGTCCCCTGTCTAGGCTTGGGCAACCCGACAGTATGCCAGCCCTCCGTGCCTCCTTGGGTGGCATGGCAGTTAAGCACCGAAAGGGTACTATAGCTGAGCGATTTTTGGACGATTTTCGTTGTATCGTAAAGAACCGGTCCCCATTTTATGTTTTGATGACGCCTAACCAATGATTCCCTTAATAATAAGATAACTCACAAGCAGCGTAAGAAGACAAACTGAGTTACGATCACTACTTCACTGACGTAGGTCGAAGTAGCCCAATTGTTAAGGCGCGAACCTACTGAGCGGAAGGTCCGTGGTTTGAGGCCGACCCAATTATCTTGACTGCTCTTCGTAAGAACAGACTGATTTTACTCATCTTTACTACGATATCGTTCAGCTATAGCACCCTTTCGTTGCCTAACTGCCATGCCACCAGAAGGTTGCAAGAGGGCTAGTATACTGCCAGGTTACCCAAGCCTAGACAATGGAAGTAGAGAAGCGGAGGTCGGGTTCGAACCACGAACCTTCCGGTCAGTAAATTCGCGCTCTATCCACTTGAGCCATCTCGCCCCTACGATATCAGCTGACGAGAAATTTGTGAAAGTTTTTCATCGCCATTTCCATAGAATGCGGAACACAAGACATTTCCAGCCAAAAATATGTTTCTTTTCAGTCCGTATCTCATTCGTAAGACGTAGGTATTCCAACAAAACAATTGCGATGGGGTTCGGGAATCTCGTCACGCTCATCAAAATACAATGGAAATGTAATTAGTTGGAACTACTGATCCGCCATTATAGTCCACAATGATGGTGATACTCTAGCTAATTTGCGGCTTACAAGACTGTCGGAAACAGTACTGTTGTCGCTTTCCAAACTTCCAGGTTATTGGAGGCTCAACTCCGAATTCTCTACCCATTCTGTAGTTCATCATTTGGATCTTCGAGACAAACGGGCCTAAAATTCCCACCTTAGCAATTCTACGGGGAACAAAACACTCATCGAAGAGACGTACGTTGATAAAATAAATAAGCTGTACCCATTCACATACACACTGTAGTTCACTCGATCAGCCGTGAAATGAAATATGGCTGAAGCCTCGAGGTACAGACCATTGGTCGAGTGAACCAAATGATACATTATGGCTGCCACGCGGCATGCTGTCCGCCTACACATTCTCGCCTCATTTCGGGACAGGCCCGAATGTTCCACAGAAAATGTGACGTCTATTCAACTATTCACTTCGTAGTTTGTCGGGCGTCCCTCTTATCGATGGGTTGTTGGCGCGCTTATGCCTAAGATACTGTCGCGGTAACCAACAGAGACTCGTTGCTGTCGGAAGGAAATTCGGGCAGTTTCAACTGAAATTTCGTCCAATAAGTGAAGGCAGTCAATGCTGAGAAACCGTGGGCACTGGTGATTCTCAGTAAGAATGAAAGAGCTCTGCGGTGCTTCTCGGCTTTTACTGGACAAACTCTGAATTGGCAACAGAGTATTGTTGCACTTTCAGGCTATTCGACTGGTTAATTTCGCGTCCCCATGCACTTATTCGATCTCATGCATCTTAAGCTTATGAACTCCCTTGAACTGGTGCCGCCGAAACACAAACAAGACTGTTGTCACACACACGCACAAGATAAAATTGTTTTTGCAACAAATTCCCCATCTTCGTGTTCTAAAATTTCACTGGTCCGCTCCAAGACTGGGGTGAAACGCATCTTGCAGTTCTGACACACATGCCAACCATCGTGAACAGCAGAGAAGTCTAAATAGACAGTGAACAACAAAAACCAAAAGGAAATGTCACAAAATTACCAATGACGAATGTCAGCTTGTCTTCATATCCGAAGTCTCCATTCACCCCTGGAACCTTGGATTTTCCCGCTTGGGTAATTCACTCGACGCTTAGTAGAATGCATTTGAGTACGACATTCCAGGATTGTGAGGTGTGATCTGGGACTCGAATGAGAAGTCCTGAGAACCATTTTTGGATTTCGGCCCAATCTCTGTACTTTTAACTGAATTTCTCCCTTCTCGGCAATTTAAAACTCAGCCTGGAACTTGTACCACGAGATGATACCCAGATCTTGTCGAGGCGTTTTTCGGACTTCCCTCAACTTTTCAGCTCGCTTATCTACCTCCAGTCAACATTTCCCTTCCTCTTGTTCTGTCTCTGTACCCTTTTAGGAACGTTAATCCTTCTTGGACGTACGGCTGCAGCCTGGAAATACATGGGTCTACTTTGCCGTAGCCACATCCGGTCGGCAGTCATCTTTTCCGTTTTCTTCGGTGGAACCGAATCCAATCCCGGTCCCCTGATGTATGACCCGAACGTACCGTACACGGATTCCAGTTTTCGTCCATTGTCTCCCATGTTTCAAAAGATCACTGTACGACAAGGCCCAGTAAGTTCAGATCTGTCCCTCCTTTTCGATTGAGGAACTTCGTGGGTTGCGCGAACAGAGTCTCATATATCGTTGAAATCCAGTGGTCTGTCATTTGTGTTCCAGTGATTCGGTAGTACAGCACGCCCCACACAAGGATTTTGCTGCTCACGGAGATAGTTTAAACGGTAGTTGGCTTTTTCCTTAGTGTGACTTCATCCGAGGGAGAACATGGGAACGGAAACTCCGGCACTGATGTCAAACGGTTGACATCGTTAAACTACCTGGTCAGAGAGTTTTTACGGACTTCTGTTGGCTTCGATAGTCCAGACAGATTTTTTTGACCGTCAACTTCGTCAGTTGTGTGTTTGCAACTTCCCAAATTCTAGTTATATGCTTCTGGTATTTTTGCTGTCCAGTTTTTTGACCTTCCGTTTTTTAGTGGCAGCGTATGGCTATCTTTGTGGGATAATTTCACTCACGGTCCCGAATTTTCGGCTGCCGTGACTAATTCTGTACTATCTTATAGATTTACAACAGAATGAATAAACTGTTGTGTTAACGCTTCAGGGAGGTTTCTTAGCAGAACACACTATTCGTGTTTTCCCGAAAACTACCCCTCGGCCCATCACCGGTTTCGCCCTCCTCGGGGCTTATCAGGTAGGCGTAGTCCCCGAGCATCTCTTCAACACTAACCTAATTTGGAAATAAGTGTAGTACAATAGTTGCATACAGTTTGGTATTTACTTAGATCCTAGTGTTGACCGGCCTCTCCGATTGTCCCCAAGAAATGTAGTGTCAGAGAATTTCTGCCAACCTTAATAGGAGTGGTTTTTTTTAGAACAATATACTACATTGTCGCACCAATTGAAAAATAATACGCACTTTATGCAGTTTATTCAGTTAAAGAATACCGTTAATGAGGCACTCATTTGAGTCTCTCAGTAACCCCAATGCGATTGGCAAATCAGCGTATTTCGTCCAATCAACGGTAGTTGCACCTTCTTGTCGAAATGAAGATTTTATCGGCCTCAGAGAACTCACTGTCATGGTCGCCAACACCGAAGTTTCGCCCTCGGTATTTGTGTAGTGAGAGTCGCTGTTGCGTTTGCAGAGTGCGTCTTATCGTCATATCCTATATTTCTTGCTCTTCATCGACGTTCGGTGTACGAAGTTGATGCCTGTCGTTGTTTTGCGGATAACTGCGTCTGAAACCACGGTGCTTTATTACACTGCTCATATCTGTGGTGCATTGTTTCCCGTGATACTTCTGGTTAATTCTGTTTGGCAGTTGCCCTTTTGCAAGCCTCCTTCTCGCTTTCTCTACAATGAATCTGGATTCTAACGGTCGTGTGTACCAGGCCACAGTAAGGCCTGTATTGTTGTATGGATGCGAGACATGGCCTCTGTGGACAGATGATGTGGGGCTTCTTCAGGTTTTCGACCACCGATGCCTCGGAAGCGTGGCTGGTTTTGGATGGAGTCAGCGTGTTAGTAACGAGTTGATTAGAAAACGGGTATTTGTTTTTGCTTCAGCTAAAAGAACATCCACCGACCACGGTGGCTCAGTCATGCGCTACGCATGCCGAAACACCACCTGCCCAGATGAGTGTTGTTTTCCGCACCTCCTTCAGGATGGNCTTTTAATACTATTATATATATATATATATACAACTACACGAACCTTATGGTTGTACGGCAGTGAAGCATCAGTCCCAACATTGATGTTGCTGTCTTTGATGATGATGATCTGTCTTAAATCAGTGCTATGCGTACAAATCCACCATAGGTGGACAACTTAGCCATCCTGCTGCGTTTGTAATGCCTTTTCTGCTTCTTTGGCTCATTTTTGTTTTTGGTTTTTGCATACTCTTTATCTTGACCACTTTTATGTTATCCGTTTTCAAAACTGTAACTTTGGAATAATTTAGGTCTTCCATTTTGGTGCCTATCCCCTTCAATACGTCGCTACGCTATTTCTAAACAAACTGAACATGTCATCGCTTCCAAGGCTTCGCTGTGTATCCCACACTCCCGTTTTTTTGGTGATCGAAACGGGCAGTTTGAACTAGTGTGTCTATTTTACACGGATCATAGCTAATGGAATTCGATTACTTGGTGCTCCAGCTAAGAGCAACTAACCGAGCGTTTAGAACTACCATGACCCCAGAGGATAAATAGGCAGTCCCGAAGGTGAATAGCCATCCTTGTTTCCTTTCCGTCGTTACAGGGAGCCTGGCCAACTGGAAAGATAGTCAACCATCCAGACTGCTTGATTCATGGGTGCCTCCAATTTCCGGGGATAGGGTGGCAGACGCTGAACCACATCATTCAAGTCAAACTCTAGAGCTCTTGTGTAAGGCTGACTAAAGTTACCGAGTTCGGTTTCTATTTTGCAAGCCATCTGTGCATAACGGGGTGTTGTTTTCGATGGCCCAAGAGCTCTACACGCCTCATTGTTTAGGACTCGAACTTACTGACCGAAAATTCTGTGGTTCGAACCCAATTCTAGTATCTTGACTGTTCCTGTTTAGGCGTGGGTACTCTCATGCTCCCTTCGGCGGGGGACGTGGCAGCTACGTACCGAAAGCGTATTACAGCTGAGCGATTGGGCAGCTTCACTTTTCTTACCCTCACTTTCCTCTACTGGGCTTTCATTGAACATGTTGCCATTGGTAGCGAAACACCAGTGATCAATGATGGTAGACTGAATGCATCTGTGAGAATCGGTAAACCGTATACCCGTGACCCATTTTTCTCTGTTCGGAACTGTTCTAATAGCGCATGCGCATGCATGTTTTCTCTTATTTTCTCCAGGGATCTGGTACACAGCTTGTGGCCGTCTATCGAGGAAGCCGTTCGTTCACCAAGACTGAATGGACAAAGGATGGTGGACGTATCCCGTTCGGTTTCCCAGAACCAACCGCTTTCGCCCTCACTTTCCCAGAACTCATCCAACGGAATCACTCAGGTAGGTTGTTGGTCAGCCGAGTTACGTGACGTAAACAACCGTCGAACGGAACGTTGTTCATATCCAATGTGTACGCATCGATCGTGACGCTGTGGCGGGATAGCCTTCGTTGGGTGGAGTTGTTCACACAGGAACGTCTAGATGACTCATCTTGAAACCTCTCGTTTCTGTCCGCCTATTTGTAAACAACGTTTTTCTGGTTGCTAGTTCGGACGCACGTGCTCCAGACACTGCGACCAGATTACTGTTAGGTTTTCGCAGCCTACTTGTCTGTCTGACTGGTTACAACAAATTCCACTTTCTGTCCATCTCTTTCCAGGTTTGTATGAATTGCACGTGTCTGGCAGGCATCCTGCAATCCGGTTTCAATTTGAAGTTACTGTGGTCGGTCCGCCGGAGGTGATTCAAGACCCTCCTGCTTTGCTTTTGGTTATGGAGGGGCGCGAAGCAATGTATCACACTGAGATCGCAAGTTACAGCACAACGGTGAGTGACCTGCTTCCGAAAGTGCCCAACCTTCAAGATATAGGTTGATGAATCGGTGTCTGTTCAGCTGCCCACCTCTACTGTCCTGTAAGGATTACTTTCAAAAAAGGACATAGAACCCCGTGAAAAACACTTGGAACCGATTGGGTAGTTTTCGAAGAAGTTTGGTGACAATCGATAGATTTATTGCTGGGCAACGTTTCGCTTTTGACACACTGCCAGGGAATTGCACAACAGAATTGGTGAGCATAAAAGAAGGATTAACAAACGCTGGTCAAAGACTCAGTGATGGCGGTACATGCCTTAGACACGGGACGGAATAGATCTGGAGCATGTGGAAGTTTTAAGACGGGGACTGCGATTCACACCACAACGGCTGATAGCCGTGGCGGTGGAAATTACTAAGCATCACAGCGTGAATAGAATCGAGGGTGTGGAGCTAGCGAGCGTATGGAAAGCGGTCTTAGATAAGCCGAGTTGACACGTGACGGTGTAGTTCAAGAGGAACCATCGAATGAACCGAATCAGAAGAACTAGACCCTAGGCTGGACCCAAGCACATGTAGGTTTCCCCACCGACCCAACGCTTGTTCAACCACTCTAACACACTAAAATCCCTCGGCCGACACCCAACAGAGAATTAGGTTGACTTAGCTGATTGGTTCTCCTTCCGCCTTAAATCTCGACCAACCTCTAGTCACTTGACCTGACGAAGCTTTTATGTCAAAAGCGAAACGTTGCCCAGCAATAAATCTACCGATTGTCACCAAACTTTTTCTCGAAAAACAGACATAGAACCCCATTTTTCTTATGATTACGAAAAAGCAAGTCAATTTTTGTCCTAATAGGGATGGAAAAAATGGAGAGCTGTCACATTCGACCTTGAGATGGTTCATTGGTTAAGGCGCCAGTCTACTGACCGAAAGTCTCGTGGTTTGAACTCAACCTCAGCATCTCGACTACTCCTGTCTAGGCGTCGGTAACCTGGCGTCATCTCAGCCTTTGGGTCTCCTTCAGATGCCATGGCAGCTGGATACCTAAAAGGGATTACAGGTGAACGATCGCTGTTGACAGTTGAGTATTGGCTTCGACCTAAGGTTCCCTGAATCACCTGAATCCGAAGCTTCGGGGCACAATCTGAATTCCAACTTGTACAAGTCCCGCATCCATTTGAAGACCAGTTGCAAATGGGAAGCCCTTTTCAATTTCAAAGCTACCGGACATTCGGTCGAACTGATTACCGAATACCTGCGTGTTTCATCTTGCGAGGGTCAATACGTTTGGGGAACTTTGTTTTTAGAGTCTAGGAGAAAGAAAATGATCTTACACTTGTTTTCAGATGATTTTGAACGCAATGTTGAACATGTTTCCTGGGAAATGTAGGCAAAACTTATTGATTTACACTCAAATAACGTGAAAAACGTCTGTACATTTCTCTGATGATTGTCGGATAAAGGTTCGTGTAGTGTTTGAAACTACCAACGTGCGTGACTGAACGTTTTTAGCGATGAAATGTACGGGGTGTTTTCTTTACTGCACTCAGTTGTGTGGTGATCATTTGGAAGCGTTTCTCATGATCAGGACTATTGGATTGGTTGCATCATTAAATCACACGTTGAAATGTTAGCTAAGATCAAAATCACATGAAGGTAACCAAGTGACATGGAGTCGGATAAGGGAAGGTGGTGAAGGCTGACATGCGATAAGGGTGTGTGCAAGGAAAGTTTGATCAGCAAGTTAAATCAGAGGGGAATTGGGGGGCCAAATAGCATACATAATGGGTGGAGTCGGAAGACACGATAGGAAATGAGGAGAACGTGGAGGGGAAGATTCAAGTTCAATCCTCCACCAAGGTAGAAAGACATTTTTGAGGCAGTGTGGCCACCCTAACTGGAGTCGATTTAGTTGCTCATCTATTCACATCTGTGTGTTGTGGGGACATTTCATCTTTGGAAGCCAATTTTCAAGCAGTTGAGTAATTGCAAACGTGCCTCTGCTAGCACACGGAAGTTTGTTTAGATCCAAGATGGCCCACTGGTTAAGGCACGAACTTGTTGACTCGGAGGTCGGCGTTGGATTTTGGGGGCGAGATGGTTCAATTGATTAGAGCACGGATTTACTAACCGGAAGGTCCTTGGTTCGAACCCTACCTATACCTCTCGACTTCCCCTGTCTAGGCTTGGGCAACCTGGCAGTATCCCAGCCCTCGTGCTTCCCTCGGGTAGCGTGACAGTTATGCACCGGAATGGTGTTACAGCTGAGAGGGGTCGGTGTTTGAACCCAACCTCTTTATCTAGAAGTCTCTTGCCTAGGACCAAGCAACCTGATGGTATCTTAACCCTCGTGCTTCCATCGAGTGGCGTGGCAGGCATGTACCGAAAGGATGTTACAACTGAACAGTTATGTCTTATCGTATCATCTGACTGCACAAAGTTCTTGTTCGATAAAAATTGATAAAAGTTACGGAAGTCACTCTCTCTCTCTCTGTGCTTTCGCGTTAACGCCACTGCATCTCAGCTGGAATATTGTAACAGAATTTGAGGCAGCAGTTTGGAAACTACCTTTCAAGTTGCTGACGGCGTTCCTAAATTACTTCACAAACATTGAAACTCTGCAACGTCATCTCTAAGTTAACTGAAAAGCCTGCGGCTCCAAACTGGCAGTTGTTGCTTAAATAAAATCGGTCCTCGTTTCAGAGGGGTTCGGTAAACAGTCGGTGGATTTATTGTTTACCAAACCCCTCTGAAACGATGACTTCCCAATCGGTCCCAAACATTTCCCAGTTGATTAAAATCGGTCCTCTTCAGAATCCTTTTGTTACTGTAACGACCTCTGTTCTGGTTCGACTAGTCCAAACAGATAGTCATGTTTGATCAAACGTGCAGAATGTGACAAAAGTGACCTCGGTTCATAGTTTCCCATGCGCCGTTTGAGTGGCTTATCGTTGAGGAATAGTATTTTCTTTGTGACAACATTCGCTGTAATAGTCCTGTCTTCAACACCGGAAGTAAACTAACCCACGGCTACTCCAAAATCCAAAATTTAGTTTCCTGGCCGAATCGGGTTACATTTTCACCAAACAGTACAGAAGATGGAAAACTGTACTTATGCCGTTTTGATCGTTGTCTATTCTGTCAAGGATGAATGCGCCTGAATTTAGCATTCTGACGTAAAACTCTCGGATGGCCGCATTGTTCGGAAACACTCGTCGCTGAATGAGAAAGACGGCGTATTTTTTGGGATAACTTGTACTCTAAAGCACGGCGGAACAATTTGGAGTGGAAATCATGGGTCATTTCGCAAAAAAATAATCGTTCAGCTGTAACGCCCTAGCTGCCATGCCACCCGGAGGAAGCAAGAGGGCTGGGATACTTCCAGGTTGCCCAAGCCCAGACACGGGAAGTTGAGAGGCAGAGGTCGGGTTCGAACCACGGACCTTCCAGTCAGTAAATTCGCGCCCCAACTGGGTAGTACCTGGCACTGGTTATCTTATCATACGGAGGTTGTACAGTGTGGATGGGACCACCCACAATCACTGCCTACCCAGCATTTCACTTTTGTTTCTCTCTTTTTTCAACAGACACTGCGCATCAACGGAGAAGTGTTCTTTCCAGGCTCCCCGCAGGGACATCGAAAGCTCATCAGCGATTTCCCGTACCTAAAGGATGCAAAAATCCATCCACTGGATATTCAAGGTCCACGAATTCAATATCATGCTAGCAACCTGGTGTTCACTCCCGGGAGCCCGTTCGGATCCACTCATACGGTGACGATTGAGGGTGCAAATGAGTTTGGTTACGCCAGGGTATCCACGCTGATCAATGTATTACGTAGGTTAACGGATCGACCAGCTGCTTCTACGGTGCCGTGCCTGTGTGGCCGTTCCACTCCCTGTTCTTCCTAGTTTCATTTATCCTCATTTGCATTTTATCATGCTTTTGGTGTTAGCTTCGGAAGTAGACACACACACACTATCACTTTCCCGGCCGGATCACAGAGGTCCGCTCAAGAGAGATAACGGAGAATTGTGGTCTATGACCGGTTGTGGCTGGTGTGGAATTCCATTGTTTTGACGGGAGGAGAGTTACTGTATATAGGGTAGGGTCTACTTCCTATCTGTTCCGTGGATTCAGCCATTTGCTTTGTTTGAGACATCGAATGTGTTCTTCTAGTCAATGTGAAACACCATCAAGACCACTCTTATTTTCCGATCATCTCCGTCCCCACTTAACTTGCTCTGTGTATTCAATTTTTAAACAAACTGGATTTGTGGTCATTTTTTATTGTGACCCAACGAAACTCACAAAAGACTGTCTTGTGTTCTCTGAGGGCACGAGTCTCACTTTGAAGGCCTAAATAAACGGTAAAAGGGAGGTAGTTAAGTTATTCCGGCTGGGTAAACTAAGAAACGTGGTTAGTTGGCCAAGACATGATCAGTGCTTTCAGGTGCCGTTTCTGATGACAAACTTGGTTCGTTTAGTCAGATGGCCATCGCCTCTGCTGTTGAGATTGCGTTCCATGTAGCGACTTTGGAGCGATCTGGTAGCTCTCTATGCACCACGCCTCAGCCGGATTGACTTGGTGATTGTATTGATCAGGTGAACTGCAATCGCGCTTGTCACGAATTTCGCTCCACTGCGTGAGTGCTCTGCAACTCTTCGATCGGAGCGCCGTGGACTGGTACTTTATTTTTGATGTCTTTGGTAGCAACGAATCACTAGTGAAATGGATCCTTAATCGGGCGGCTTTGAGCATTACTCTGAATGAAATCATCAGTTATCACTTCTGAATGGTAGCCTAGGGTAGATGAACAGCTTCGGAACTGACAGACTTCTGTCTTGAGTCGTATATGGCTGTCTGAAATATTTTATCACGGGAGTCTCCAAGTATCTGTTTCCCGTCAAATTCAGTTCTACATTTAGTGCGTCTTATGCTCCCTATTTGTCAAGCACTTGACAAGACTTCTCTTGTGTTCGGTGTCCACAAAGCTGTGGAATTGAGTAGGCTGATCAGCTCGGGTTGATTTTCAGTATATCCATCACTAAAGCGTCCCTTCTCGTTGCTGGGCTAATGTAGCATCGAGAATCGGAAAACCGCTGCTAGTCCCGACGCTCTGGAGTGCAGAGTGTGCCAAATCTAATGTCTTCACAATCGCCTCGGTTGTAAAAATGTCGTCGACATGGCGTACGATGGGAGGATAGACCTATTTGTTGTTCTATTTGTGGTATAATCTTTGCCCTTGCCTCGTTCTAAGCACTCGTTTGGATCTCTTTATTCCTTATCACACCTTTTTTCTCAGTAAGGATAGACCTGTTTGTTGTTCTATTCGTGATATAATCTTTGCACTTGCCTTGTTCTAAGCACTCGGTTGAATCTGTTTATTCCTTATCACACCTTTTTTCTCAGTTGTTCTCATGAATCTGTTCACCGGACAGTATCTTAGCTATCTGTCAACAGAATCGGTTCTGTCGCCCCAACAGGGCGATTTCTGTCCCATTTGGTTGTCAATAACGTTGTTAGAACCATACATTAGTGCTCTTAAGACTAAGATGTTCAGAGCTCAACTACCGACAATCGGAAGTGGTGCTCCAAGATGCAGGGATCAAGATTCTTTTGTTTTTTGAAGCACAGCACTTCACCCACATGTCTCGTGGTTGGAACCCGAACTATTAGAAGTGGCATCTAAGCACCGTTCTAATCAGCACTTCCTGAGGTCATCTTTAAAAATTGAATATCTCTTCAGGGTTAGGCCTCGTAGTAAACACAACTTTCCAGGAACGTATCAATGAAAAACGGCTTTGAGATGCATGTTTCTGTTGGGTCTTTGTGCTTGAGGGCGGGATAAGCCGCGTACAAAACAACCAGGAACTAGGCAGGGCGGGGTAAGCCGCGTATAAAACAACGAGGAACTAGGCTAATGCATAGAATTGGGCAGCGGAGAGCTTCCTGTTTTCGATGTTCCGTCTTATTTAACACAGGTCAGTTTCGTCAAATTTGTTCGACAAAGCAACTGATGGCGGAAACGCTTTATTTTTTTCTCCCAGTCGTTCCAGTTTTATTTACGGTAAGTTGGTAGCATAACGCAGTAATGCATTTTCCATCGTACGAGTTGGTCATTCGAGTAATTATTGTAAGAATGTGGCCAAAAACATACTGTGATCCTAAACTGGATGTGATTCCGGCCAGCTCTGGGGGTACGCACTCTTCGGGGGAACGCTGTGCGGGCCAACTGGTAGATTTGTATCTCCCACCTTCAGCATATTGTCTCCAATTTCCAACCACAGTCTGAAAATGGGTTTCATTGATTGATTTTTTTCATTTTCTCTCTTTCTCTCCCTTTCCAGCTCGCCCTACGTTCCTCAAGTTACCTGCCGACTGTGCCCCCCGATGCCTTAGCAGCGAAGAGCATACGTTCAACTGTGAGGTCGACCTGCGTCCGTACGCAATGGCGCACATTATCCAATCGTGGGACTGGAATGGCACGGATATTTCAGTGCTTCGTGGACAAGGTGATGCAAGGGCCGATTATTTCCAAACTGAAGGTATCACGGTACGTTGTTTGATACATGTGACGTATTTATGTCATTGAAGTTTCCCCTTAGCATCGTCCGTTGTTTATAGTAGTCTTTTGCACGTCAGGAGTTGGTAAACCTGTCGCATCTGAACTGACCAAAACCCGATGTGAACTCCTCCTCGGGAGGGATCCTCTTCACCCTTCTGAATTCAGCGAAAAGTGCGATGACTTTGGCCAAGCTGAGCTGACGAATGAGGTAGCGCTTCTAAAAGTGTAATACCGCTCAACCACTAGGGTTACCTTACGACCCTTTGTTTCCCTTCTTTATATTCCCTATCTGTGGGGCAATTTTTAATCCGCGTACGAAAAACTGCACAACTTTGATTTCCGCATTTTCAACGAGTTTGTTTTTTCCCCACCCTCTGCTACGATCAAATTAGCTGCGACTGCTCCCAGTGCGTGACGCCTCGCGCGTCTCACTGTTCGCCAATTCGCATGTGACCTGTCGTATTCGAATCTACTACAAGGCTGTGCAGGCCGCATTGGGTAATTCGGAAAACGCGGAGCGCGTATTGCAGGACTCCAGATGGATCGTGTATGATTCCAGGACTGACTCAGAGACACGGGGTCTCTCGTCCAAGGTGGATCTGCAACTGGACAGCACCCGGTCCACAGGTACATCACTCGAAGTTGTGATTCGCTTTTTTTATCGTTATTTTACCTATAATAATACAATACCTCTCAAGTTTAATGAAGTCTCACTGTTGCCGCTTTAAGAGCAGATGAACCAGTCCAAGTCCAGCAAATTGGCAGCGTGACCTTTCAAACCAAAAGTATACCTTTGAAAAAAATATGTAGTGCCTTGATGTCACAACACCACCGGTAGTTATGCTGTAGAAAGAAACAGGGTGAATGCCGCCAGTTTTGTTTAACCGGATTACTCAATTGTTATCAAGACGTTCCTCTCTTCATAAAGGAAACTACTCACAAGGTTACTGGAAACTATTCGACAGCCCACGACCGGTTTCGCCCTTCCACTTGGGGCTCACCAGGTAGGCGCAGCGCATTCCCTGAGTTTCCGTCAACTTTATGATCTACTTGAACCCAAATTGCACTGTTTCCGAAAAATACACTCATTTGCAAATCAACTGTGTCTCCCATGAAAACCAAATGGACTTGCAAATGAGTGTATTTCTCGAAAATTATTGCAGCTCATTCGGTCACCGTCCATTTCGGCTGTTCCATGAAATATTCCACTGAATTTTGGATAATTTGACGAAATTGAGTGTTTGTCCGTTCGAAAAACAGTATTGTGTTCGTACGCTGAGACACTAAGTAGGTTTTCATGCTCAAATATTCTAGCGACTGAAACATGAGGCGTCCTGGTGCAGCACATTCAGTTGCCTGAGAACGTCATAAACGAGAGATTCAGCTGGGTTCCAGGTGAGTCTCTGGAAAGAACCAAATTAGTTTGCAGATGAGTGTGTACTCTCAGTTCTCGTTCACTCGACTTGTGTTTATTCTCATGTCCCGAAAAATAGAGAAACAGTAGTGAGTATGCATCAGTTTATTTAATCACCTCATTAGAACAGTGAACATCACGGAATGGTTGACATTTTATTCCAAATCCAACCACGTTTTGGCGTCACGCGGACCAGAATTGAGGGAATGCATGTACCGTTGTCAAGACAAACCATACTGAGCGTACCAAACACAGATGGTTTGTGTGAGTAGTTTCTCACGAATCCAGCTCCACTGTCGCCCTGAAATTATGAGTGAAAGGGCATTTCAAGCACATAAGTTTACACTACATCACCCAACACCAAGCTTGGTACTTCGTTCGCTTGTTCGCTATCCACCACGAATGCCGTTACTTCACTTGCTAAATGTGACAAAATAAGCGGAGCAAACAATATAGAATTCTAGTGACCGAATCATTCCTCTAAGCTTCAGTTTTCTCATTGGCAGCTGCAGTCATCTGACCGTCTTTCCTTCTTGTTGTCTATTCATTTGGCCATCAAAACTTGTCTTATAACGACGGATGTGAAACTCTATGCACTGGTGAAAATTCAAGTCAAAATCTTTTGTAATGCCTGTGGCGTTTTACAGGTGTGCTAATACTCTGACGAAAAAGCACCGAAATTCGAAGGAAAATGTTCCATCCCATCGATGAATCTCCACATTAGGAAGATCTGTACGGTGTCGTTGTAGTTTACGCCTTCAGTTTCCTCCATTTAAGGCGAAATCGATCTGCAATTTTGCAATGCAGCTTAAAAGTGTATTTCCGAAAACGTTCCTCTCTTGTTTCATCATGCGAAAACTAGTGGTATTCGAGTCTAAAAAAAGGATACTCATAGTGCTCAAATGTGAACTCGTCTAGCTGTTGGGACTTGATGGTTCAGGTGCGTCCAGTATCTGGGCTTGGAATCACAGCGTCGCCGAGGATACGCACTACTGATGAGCTCAATGAAAAGTGACACTTTTTGTTATGGGCTAATCAGAATTGCTTCACCAGCGGGGCTGTTCGGAGAAGAGTGTCATAACTTCCACATGTCCTGAGGTTGTTCACATTCATTTCTACTTTTGCGCTGACGATCGGCTTTCATCAACTGTTTTTCAGGTGACACATATTTTCGTATTTCTGCATGACCGCGGCTCATTTTCCCACGATTGATCACAAGCCCCGTGTTTTATTTACCATCATTTCATTAATGTTGCGGGTTGGAAAATGGGTTTTCTAGTTCATAACTCTCAAGCTCGAACCCGAGAATTCCGGTGTATTCTTTGTTAGGGACTGTTATTATAACGCACCAAGCTGATATTTCCCTCATCACCTCATGTCAAACAAAAGGACCGGAATTCCGCTGTAGCCCTACTTTACAGTAAATGAAAAAGATGGCTCATTAATTCACTCGCAAAAACGTC